AATAGTTGTTAGAAAAAAACAAAACCTTCTAAGATCTCTATTTCAACGTTCATTGCTATCTTCGTAAAAGTCAAAACCCCGAAATTCCAAGTCGGCGCCACTGTCGCGATAGAACTAAAATCTCTATAGCTTCGTCTTGAAGTTTGTCGATGTCGTCCCACACAATTTGGACTTATCACATTTAATCCACGCATTTCGCTGTCTGGTAGCTTGGCACTTTTAATTCACGTCTAATCAGAATAAAGAGACAAGAAAAATGGGTCGCGGCAAACGGCTCGCACGATGCTTTTGTTGACTGTCTGGCAATCATCTTTGACCTTTAAGCATCCGCTTTACTGATTGGCTATTAAAGAATGACATCACTACTTGTGTTTCGTCATGGAGGTAAATTTAACATTGCTTTTTTATCAGACTAGGCGTTCGTTCGTTCATCAATCATGGTGAAAGTTACCATTCAGCAAGTTGTATGGATATCGCGGCGGGCTTGAAATAGGAAGATTTTTTTTCCAACGACAGAAGAATAATTTCCATGAAAGTGGTGAAAGTGGTGAAAGTGGTGAAAGATGGTAACAAAGTTGGCAGTCTTCGGCATGACATTGCAAAATTGGCCCCAGTTATGGATTCGCAAATATTTTATAAAGCCAAAACAAACGTGCTTGAAACCACTCTCCCAGTTACGGGTTGCTACAATATTGCAACATTGGTTTCATTGTCGGTGACTCCAACTACGTAAACAGTGGTGAACGCGCTGCTCTATTTATGTCACAGCTATTTCGCGTTCACTCATCGTTTTACGCAATTGACATTTATTTTTCAAATTTTGTTATCAGAATCAAAACAAACTGCAAGGAAGTAAACTGTTAATACAACGGACAAACATAGGTTTTTGTTTTTTTATTTTATTACAGGTGTAGAAAAAACACCCCTTGTCCGGATAAATATGGTATTATTATTATTATATAAGTGCTCTGTGTTGTATTTTGTAGGTGTAGACGAAGTCAAGTTGCAAGAGAACCAATATTCCCTACAACATGTTAGAGCTTTTGGTGTTCATAATTACCTACTTCTAGATCAGTGGAATCCAAACTCTGTTTTCTACGTGGATGATCAGTGGAAGGTGATGCAGCTGAGAGTTGTATTGGTAAGTGTGTTATTAAATGCAAAGTACACTGAGTAATGGAAGCACAAATCTGGTTTATTCCATACTTCAAATTAGTGACCTTGAATTTAATTTGGTATAATAAGACATATGAAGGTACAATGCGTAACAAAGTGTTAATTGTGTTGAGATAATGAAATTTTAGGCAACCTATATTTAAGAAATATTAAAACAAATAAAAATACATGCAATATGGTAATTGAATATCTAAACTGTGCGCGTGTTAAAAACTAAAAATTTTTGCAAAGTTGCAAGCCATCATGCTAACTGTCTGTCTGAACACACAGTCCCTCTATCACCGGTCTGGAAACGCCTATTGTTTAACGTGTGAATCGGCTAGTATAGTGGGCTAACACTTGTAACGGCTCTCCGCGAAGCGTGGTACTATACTGTTGATAGCTTCGAGATACATCGCGTTTAGTGCTGTGATCTATTTTTTAACGTTTTCAGAACATATTTGATACCGTAAACAAATATTTTTTTACATATTTTTTACCATAGTTGATTCGTAACGTCTTTGTTTTTAAGGAGAGTAAGTTTCGTTGTATACAATATGTTGATACTCGACGTTTTCTTGTGTGAAATTATGTCTTTTTCACCTTTTGTAATAGGGAGGGACTGTGCCGTGACTTGTAAACTGACTCGTTTTTTCTGTTCCTCTCATTAACGGTACATTCTTGTCAACATGACAACATTTGTGTTTTTGGTAGATTTGAAATACGTTTAGCACAATGGTCATGTTGAATATACGATTTTGATGATTGTTCGTTCAAAAAATTACGCTTATTTTTAAGAAGTAAACGGCGTCGTTAAAAACAAAATGGCCGGTCCCAGTTACGATGTTGTACACATTTTACTTCGGTATTTTTTTTTTTCTGCTTGTTTTGTTTTTCCGGCATATTAATTGCAACAACTATGTATATCGGCAACACAATCAATTGAAATACTGTTTAATGTCACAAGATGTATGATTTTTGGGTCTTGGTTTTGCACGTCATTGTATTCACGACAGTGCCATTTTGGATCTATCATCACATCATTCTCTCAGTCGTATAATTGTAACGCTAGTTTCTGTTCCGATTACAAGGGAATGGGGTGATTCTCCAATTCCATTTTTATTTGGCGATTAAAGAAACTACTTCTGAAACTAATGGGGTGGTTTAATTCTGTTTGGGATGTAATAAAGAGTTTAATTTCATAGACAAATTTTGTTTACGTACAGACAGCAGTTTTGACAGGCGTGTGGGCGTGGCAATCATGCCTCATAAAAGGTTTCTCCGGTATGTTTTCGGCACTGGTTGAACTACATGGTTTATCTTTATGCACTTCATGGATTACTTCCTCAATAACATCTTTTAAAACGAAATCCCAATCAATTTGACAAAATCGCCGTAAGCCTTCCACATGGTAATGTTGTGATCCGTGTGCTGGTAATGACGCATGCGCAATGACTCAAATCGCTAAGTATCGTGGTAACTTCCAGTGGGTTAATGAATATGCACGACTACATCAATGGGAGTTTATTTTCGGGATAACGTGGCGTAAGGTGTCAACGATTTATTTGCCCGTTACGAGGGTTAGTACAATAGAATACTAAGCATTTCCAGACCGGTGATAGAGGGACTGTGGTCTGAATAATTCTCAGAACTGCTATAAATGAAAAAGGGAACATATAACACCAGGTGTATACTCATACCAGCATATTATAAATCATTGCAGATATTCAATACATATACAGTTTTTTATTGATCAGCAGTCATCATATCATCATGCTCAGGGATTGAGGGCCGTGTTCTGCAGTATGTTATGTATCCTTTGTTGTTCTTTACTTTGTGATGTCATTTTTACAGGAATCTCAACTGAGTCCTGCAGAGTCAGTGTTTCAGATTCCTGCCACCAACCACAAATCAGCATCCAATAGACATTTTGTGACATTCCACTTTCCTGGACCACACTGGGCACTTTTAGCTGATGGGGCTGGTACCTTGTATATCTTGGAAACTGGCAACAGAGACCAGGTATCAGCTCCAGAATGGAAGGTAAATTTTATATTTTCACTTGTGTGCACTGAGGTTTAGGGTACAATAATTACATTTATAGAATAATATATGATAGCTATTCCACTCAAATCTTGTTTGTATATAATCATAAAAAATTTTTTTTAAAGCAAATTGAGGAAAGATTTCCATCAGTTGCTGTGTTCACATAAGAACTAGAAACAAATTACCGCGGTATTTGTGTTTCTGGTCATATATGTTAAAAATTTTTTTATTTTACTCTGTAGATAAGCTTCGATCGGAACAGTGTGTAGAAGTAATTTCCCTTTTGTTGCATGTCATCTTTCTATTCAGTGCTTCTATCTATTATAGTGTGAAAATACACACAAAAATAAACATTTTCTTTTTAGATTATTTATTCTGAATCACTGTGTGGAAGTGAGAGGCCGTTTGTTATCCTTGATGCTACCCTTCATATATCAGACTCTGCTACCACTGTAGACTGCCTACTGCTGTACATAGAAGAAGAAAAGACAGATACCATGTTATCCTCGTCTCATTTCACTTCAGTGATTGAATGGATCACTATTACACGGCAACCAGGTAATTATGTTCACCTAGACCTTGTATCCTTTCAACAGATAATAAATCAGTTGAATTTTACAAAGAATGTAATCAAATGTTAATTTGCTTCAGAAAAATACATTGTATTTATATGGCTG